TCTTTATACACATACAGGGTGATCCCAAAAAAAACTTTACAACTTGTTTTGTAAATATCTTCCTCCTTACTGAAGTTTTGCGTTTCAGATTTGAACATAACGTTTGGAAGCCAAAAGGAATTTTTCTGATATGTATTTTAGATAAGTCCATTGAATGGTTTTTCTCTATATAGCGCATTAAAAAAACAACCCATTTTCAACCTTGTCGCCATTTTCATAGCATGACGCACCAGTTCGCATTCGGCCTACCACTAAAAGTTGCAACAATCGCGCCATATTGCAAGCTGCAGCAGTCTAACAAGTCAACAGATGTCTGCAGATATTATTTTTTCCAAATTTTGTTTGCCTGCTGAGATCATGGCTACGTTTAGTAAAGAGCAGAGAGCTTTTTGTATTGAACATTACCTCTCTACAAACTCACCATCCCTGACATTTCGTAAGTTCTGCGCACAGCATGGAGAGAATGCTTAGGTGCCCCCAAGACCTTTGGCGCCATGAGTAGAAAAGTTCGGTCAGTTTGGATCTATAGCGAATCAGAACTAAAAAGTTCTTTAAAAAATGACCACTTCAGGTCAAACACGCACCATGCGCAGCCCTTTAAACGTCACCAGAGTGCAGATTTCAGTAGCCAAGTCCCATGAGACGTCTGCAGCTAGGATTTTCCTACACATCAACAGTCTGCATTCTCATGGCAGATCTTAACCTACCACTATACCATGTTCTTCTTCGCTAGGCCGAGATGACATGGACCAGAGCATGGCAATGTGTTCATGATTCCTCGATTGTCTTGTAAAGAGGGATCATTTCCTCGATGACATTTGGTTTAGTGCAAGGCTCATTTTCACCCTGCGGGATATGTCAACTTCAAAAATGCTGTCTATTGGGCACCCCACTCTATTGTCTCTAGAAGTCACATCTTAGTGAGCATGTACAGAGAATGTGGCTTTAAAAACGCATGGTTTAGCAGGTCCTTGTGTTAGGGTGCCACTAAACATTTCGAACGACGCGTTAAAAATGTATCGAGTCCAAAGGAGGGAATGTGGAGCACTGCTTCTAGGAATTTCATAATGAAATCATTAGGTTTTTAATACTCTGTAAAATAAATTAAATATTGTTTAAATGTCACAGGGATAGAAAATTAGTGTCAAAGAGAAAATACAGAAAAAGGTCAACTAATCTTTTCACGATTTCCTTTACAAGATTTTTAAACATTTGTGAACTTTGCGTTTTTTTGGTGCTTTTTTTTTCTTTTAGCCGTTTCCGTTTTCAAAACATGGTTCTCCTTCGTGGATTTTATATCAAACAAATTCCTTTTGAATGAATTATGTCTGTTCGAAATTACAGCATTCTAGAACAATTTTTGCGCGAGATATTCAGAAAAAAATTTGTAAAGTTTTTTTGGGATCACCCTATATCATTTCTTTCTGCTGGATTTCAGATTTCAGATTTCCTTCCCAGAGACACAACATAATAATAATAATAATAATAATAATAATAATAATAATAATAATAATAATAATAGATAGCATTTGAATTGCGCATATCCCCGCTCAGCAGCAGGCTCTATGCGCTTTACACTATATTATTACCCTAGCAGACCATAGAACACTCCGAAACATTCTCAGCTTCCCGGGAAGCATACAGTGCAAGCAGCCGATTAAGCGCTCAAACACTAACAAACTGACAAGATCTTTCGCTGTCTATAGCCGGGTACCCATTCCCACCTGGGTGAAGTGAGGAAAATTCGTGTAAAGTGCCTTTCCCAAGGACACAACGTCGGGCCCTTGACGGGATTCGAACCCACGACCTTACGGTTGCGAGTCCGAGAGCCTAACCACTAGGCCACCGACGCCACTTGACAGGTGTCCATAGTATAGGGGTTAGGCTCTACATTCAACATCGTGGCACACGGAAGGCACGAGATCAGTTCCCGAGTAGGGAATTTTTGTTTGTTTGCTTTTTTTTTCAATCAAGCATCTCCATCTGCTGTTTGCTGGGACGTTCTATTCCACTCAGCCTGGGTTGTCTCTGACAGGCAGGTTTGCTCGAAGCCGCTCGCCTCTTAAATTAAATGGCCTAATTTTAGTCCAAAAGGGGGAGGGGCAAAAAGATATCAAGTAACAGTTTTACAACACAACTACTCACGTCTGTCTGAAAGGATTCCTCAACAAAGCGCTCACAAGTCGCACTCCGGCGTACAGACCAACACCAAAAGAACCTCCTCTCATAAACCTTCTCAGAAAATCACGAAGTAATTTGGCAAGGAAAGTTTTGTTAATTCCACTTCCCTTCCCCCCATCTTCCAGTTGTGAAACCGTTGCTGGTGTGACCGCTTTCGGCAAGCGGTAACCATTTTCTGGTAGTATTTGTTCATCTTTACGGGTTTTCGCTTCGACGTGGTCTCTTGATTTCCTCGACGTGTCCCCCATTGTTAGCTGGTATCTGAGAAGGGAGAAGGAAAATTCTAGTTTATTTTAGTTTAGTTGAGTTCAGTGTGAGTAAGAGTTGTACGGCACTTGCAACACCATAAGGTAATGTAAGTGCGAATGTTAGAGGTGGTACAAAAGTAACAAACAGAAAAGAAGGAGAGATAGGGACGACGGGCGTTTGATAGGAAGGAAAAAGCAAATCACACCAGAGCACCCGCCAAACACCCATGCAAATGTTTGAAAAGCACGTTTAGTTTCAACAGCACATACGAATCGAGTATTTATGTATTTTATTGATGTTAGCTTATTTCTTTTACATTCTAGAATGCATCTCCATCGGCACAGTTTAGGTCATGAAAAAGGCTGACTGCTTTGACCATGCCTGTTAGGGCCAACCTGGGCTGAGCGGAATACAATATCCCAGCAGACAGACGTCAACAACGACAGAAACAACAATAACAATAGCAACAGCAACAACAACAACTGTAACAGCAAAAACAGTAACAACAACAGCAACAACAACAGTAACAATAACAACAACAAAAGCAACAACAACAGCAACAACAACAACAACAACAACAACAACAACAACAACAACAACAGCAATAACGACAACAGCAACAATAACACGCACGTGTGTTGCACCTCACTCAACACGGGTTGGCCCTGATAGGCAAGGTTAAAGCAGCCTGCCACCGAAATGACCTAAATTGTGTCGATGAGCGTGTAACATACTTGCTATGGGACAACTGATAGAACCACGTCTGGGATTTCGAGGAGAACGATTGTGTACGAACAGCTGTGGAATTATTTTGCACCTCTGGCAGATGGGTCATGCAATTTCAGTTTTAGTTTTAGTAGAGGTTTTAAGGCGCTCGCAACTGCATAAGGTCTTATGAGCGCCGGAAGATTAGAGGTGCTACAAGAGAGTAACAAACATAAAGAAAGAAGGAGAGATAAGGACGATAGATGTTTAATAGGAAAGAAGGAGCAAACCACACCAGAGCACCCGCCAACCACCCACTGCAATTCCAGGTTGTTTTTTTTATTTTAGTGATAAGTTTCACGGCACTTGCAACACAGTTAAGTCATATAAGAGCCGACGATTAGGGGTGTTACAAGAGAGCAACAAGCACAAAAAAGAATGATAGATGTTTGATTGGAAAGAAGAAGCAAAATCCACCAGAGCTGCCGCCAACTATCCTCCGAGATCAGGATGTCTTTTCTCTTGGTCATAGGTCATTGGTGAGGCATCATGGTGAAGTCAGGAGCTCGTCAAAATAGTGAAATAGAGCAAAAACAGCTGGCATTATTTCATCCGTTTGGGAATTTTAATTGATTTTAAAAAATAATTGTAGGTTCAACATCTGTTGTGTCCATTCAAAAACACATTTCTTTGTGAATATTGTTGAAAAATGTTGATCAATGGCACAAAAAGTACATTACAGTTTCCAAGAACTCGATCTTTGGAAATTACCAAGCTTTCGAGACCATTTCTTCGTTATTTTTTTCCGCTGACTCCAGGTGACACCCATCTCTTTTAATTGCATGTATCTCGAATTTTGTTCAAGATAGATGGGTACTTTTCTTTAGCAAAAGGAAGTCCAATGAATAAGCTTTAAGATGATACCAATAACTTTATATACCAAACAATTGACGAGCGCCTGATTTCACCGTGTCTTGACACAATTAGTTTCAGGCCCCTTTAAACACTACAAGTTTATTTAAGAGGCGAGGCCTCCGAATTTAATGTACGTCTCTGATGGGACCGAGACAAAGAGGTGGAGAGCCTAAAAAAAAACTCCCCAAAACAATCCAAGCTCAGAAAGCCCCGCTGAGGATTTAAACCAGGGTCGAGGGCTCTCGTGGCCTACGGGTTAAGGTGTTCACCTCTCATTCAAAGGTCCCGGGTTCGAATCCGGGTAGTGACGGAAACATTTTCTTCTCTAAAATTGTCTCCTTTCACTTTATTTCCTGCTCTCTAGCAATGTTCTGTCGTCTGCTTTCGTCTCCTCTTTCTGCCCCCAGCCCCTCTCCTCCTTTGCCCCCTCCTCTGTGCTTCTGCAACCTTTCTACTGCTACTCCTTGGCTTCTTCTTACTGCTGTCTTTCAGCCACACCCATGTTCTTCAGGTAGGAAAGATCTACCCCTAGCCTTCTCGGACAAGGGTGAAAAATCTCAGAGGGCCCGTGTGCATGTTGCGCACGTTAAAGATCCCTTGGTGGTCTAAAATCAATAAGAGTAGGCTTCGGCCGCCACCCGGGAAAAATTCAAAATTTCCTACCAACTTAAAAAATTAAATATTATCTCTCCCGCGCTCATATTACCTTATGCAGTTGCGAGCGCCGTAAAAACACTTACCAACCCTCCCCCCCCCAACCCCCCCCAACCCCCCCCCCCCCCACAACAACTACAGGGTCATCGTCTCCGTGGTCCAGCATGATACCAACTCAGCTAACGGTGCGCCCACCTTCGTCTCTGCCAGAGGGACTTCCCAACTTTTATACTGTCTTCCCGGAGAAGACTGATTTGAGCGTATCATCACTTTCGACAATCTAAATTGCGCTTAAAAGTAGAGCAAAATTCAAACAATAACCAACAATTTTTTCCACCAGCTGTTACAAACCTTAATGAGCATAGAGACAAACAGGGTTATAAAGTGTGACAGATAGATAACCAAAGGGGTATACAAGCAGGTAGGTGGGTATGTAGGAAGGTAGCTGGATCAATAAAAACATACATTGTATAGGCTACTCACTTTAAAAAATAAGAGGTGTCAATGCAACATTCCCTTCTCTGTTTGTGGCTTGAAATGATAAACTTGGAATGGTCACTAGTGTCCACGAGATCAGCAGAAAAGCGTGTAAAGTCTATATATAAAGTCTTTGTGAAATGGAGCAACCATTCTCACTGGAACACACTTGGACAGATCGGTTACACATGTAAACACGGGTACGAGTTTCCTATCGTACTGTACGAACTGCAAGTGTAACGACTCTAAACTGGTCATACACATATCATAAAATACACTTCACAAAAACAATGTGGTCACTCCTTAACAGTGACGACAGCGTTATGGGCATGATTACTATCATTATTGTTATTGGTAGTAATTGTGTCGTGGGATACAGCGATGACTGCAACCTTTGATGGAGATTGTGGGTGGCTTTATCGAAAGGACTTGAGATTGTGACAGACGCGAGATAGTTTCTGAGTTTGTTATCGCGTGTTGTAGTCAGGGGCAGTGATAACAGACTGGGAGAGGGGAGGGGGTGGGGAGAAGATACAGACAGACAGACAGACAGACAGACAGAAAGACAGACAGACAGACAGACAGACAGACAGACAGACAGACAGACAGACAGACAGACACACAGACACACAGACACACAGACACACAGACACACAGACACACAGACAGAACGCGAGTTAGAAATGAAGAGAAAAAAAGAGAGAAAGAGAGGAAGAGAGAGATAGAGAGGGAGAAAGAGAGAGAGAGAAGGAGAGAGAGAGAGAGAGAGAGAGACAGAGACAGAGAGAGAGAGAGAGAGAGAGAGAGAGAGAGAGAGAGAGAGAGAGAAAGAGGGAGGACTCCGTCGTACTCATTCGTTTTTTGTGCTTCATTATTATAAGGTTAATCCGCATGGTGCAATGATGTAAATAACGATCACTTTGTCCTTGTACTCGTTCAGCACGTGATTGTGAAAGGTTTGGTTTGAACCTAGGCCCACAGAGAGAAGTCTCTCTCTCTCTCTCTCTCTCTCTCTCTCTCTCTCTCTCTCTCGTTCTCTCTCTCTGTCTCTCTCTCGCTCTCTGTCTCTCACTCACTCTCTCTCTCTCTCTCTCTCTCTCTCTCTCTCTCTCTCTCTCTCTCTCTCTCTCTCTCTCTCTCTATCTATCTATCTATCTATCTATCTATCTATCTATCTATCTATCTATCTATCTATCTATCTATCTATCTATCTATCTCTTTCTCTCTCCCTTCACCCCTTCTTCCCTCTCTCACACAGGACACATGCACGCAGTAATGTGATACAGTTATGACAAATGTATGCAGACAACAGAATACTTTTGACGTTTAATCTGTCACAACTGTCTGGGTTCTCTCACACTGACACACGGTCAGCGAGTAATGCTTGCGTTGTTTAGGTAGTACACCTGTCTCTGTACATCTTTTATTATTATCAGTATTATTATCGTTATTACGAAGTACTGAACAGGGACTTCTCCTCCAGAGTTAAAATTATGCGTGTGAAGGAATACTTCTGTCTGAGGAATTTTGGCTGTGTCCCATATTCCTACACGTCGAGCGTGTTATAAACAGCTGCAGCGTCATCATATTCTTTTTATTCTTTCTCCAGACAGTATCATCCATGTTATGTCCATTCATTTTATCACTAAATCAAATGTTATTGCGGATGGGTGGAGGGTGCCACTCATTGATCTTACTTCTTCCTTTCTTTTTTGTACGGTTGGGTTGTTGTTTTTTCTCACCGATGTTTCTGTCCGTGTGTGCTGCTGGAGGGCTCCATTTGTACGTCTTTTTTCTTTTTCTTTCTCTCTGTAGTGTCTGGCTGTCTATCTCTCTGTAGTTTCTGTCTGTCTGTATAGGTGTCTGGAGGGTGCCACTGTAGGCCCTACTTCTTTTTCTATTCCTTTGATGTTTTTGTCCTTAAGTGTGGATGGTTGGAGGGTGCAACTAGTAGGTCCAGCCTCTTTTCGTTCCCTCTGCTGTTTCTGTCTCCCTGTGTAGGTAGCTAGAGAGCGCCAGTGGTAGGTTCTGACTTCTTTTGTTTCATTCTGTCTTTTCGGTAGTCTGTTTTTTGTTTTCAACATTTAATGACCATAATTGTGCCAGTGTACTTCTCTTTATACTAACAGACAAACACGCCCCCCCCCCAACCCCCCCCCCCCCCCAAAAAAAACAACAACAACACAACAACCCCCAAATAAACCCCAAACAAACAAAAACAAAACAAACATGACATTGCTGGGATGACTTGAATCTTAATTTTATTTTCTCCCAAGAATATTGTATTCATCTGTCGCTTGGTGCTGCAGTCAAAGGCAAACAACAATAAAGAACTTAAGAAAATAAATTAATGCAATATAATGAAAAGAGAATAGTGAGATTAACTTACCCCCATCCTTATTGCTATATCTATGCAGACAGCGTCCTCTTCTGGGAAACTTCAATGATTGTGATCTAACCTTGACTTTGAACTTTGAACTTAAAAGTCTGTGTACTTTTTTATATATGAATTTTTTCTTGACAGCTAAAAAGTTGTATTTGGTTTTCCCGTAAGTGTGGTACACGCAATGATAGTACATAACAAGATGGGCCACTTCTCTCTTTGAGCCAATTAAAAAAGTGTCCTCAAAATTTGGTGGCGCCCTCTTCACAAAAGCGCACTCTTTGCGAACAGAGTCACCCTACTTGAGTTTTTAAAAAATCAAAGTGAAACTAGCAAGTTTTGGGATAAATTTCGGAAGAACGCTTTTTTAAAATGGTTACGCTGACAAAAAACCTCTTCCGGAGGAAAGGGTGGTGGTTTTCTTCGTTTAATTTGACTTTAGAATGAAAGGCGAGAGGTCATTAAAATTTTTAAAACCCTAAAACTACGCACTGAACGTACCCGAACTGCTGATGAACAGCAGTCGATCTGCGCACGCACGAAGGTGCTATTCCTATTCTTCTTCTGGAAAAACGAAAGAGAGCTTCAAAACAGACTGCAGCGCCATCTGAAGCAAAGAGCATACTTCCTGCGGACACTTTTTTGGCTGAGTGAACCATCTTGTTATGTACTATCATTGGTACACGTCAAGGTACACGTAGAGAACTTGATGAGAGCAAAGAGTCTACATAACAAGAGGGGCCACTTCTCTCTTTGAGCCAATCAAAAAAGTGTCCTCAAAATTCGGTGGCGCTCTCTTCGCAAATGCGCACCCTTTGCGAACAGAGTTATCCTACTTGAGTTTAAAAAATCAAAGTGGAACTAGCAAGTTTTTGAATAAATTTCGGAAGAACGCTCTTTTTTAATGGTTACGCTGACGAAAAACCTTCCGGAAGAGGTGATTGTTTTCTTCACTTAATTTGACTTTAGAATGAAAGGCGAGAGGTCATTAAAATTTTTAAAAACCTAAAACTCCGCACTGAACGAACCCGAACTGCTGATGAACAGCAGTCGATCTGCGCACGCAAGGCTGTGCTATTCCTATTCTTCTTCTGGAAAAACGAAAAAGAGCTTCAAAACAGACTGCAGCACCATCTGAAGCAAAGAGCGGACCTCCGGCGGACACTTTTTTGGCTGAGTGGACCTTCTTGTTATGTACTATCTTTGATGAAAGTCGGCCTATGGGACAAAATAACTGCAGACAAGATAAGTAAACAAATCTAACTTTGATTTGTTCCTGGGTCGACACTCTGTCTCCCTGTCTGTCTGTCTGTCTGTCTGTCTGTCTGTCTGTCTGTCTGTCTGTCTGTCTGTTTGTCTGTCTGCCGTTATCAATAATTGTCATTAGAAAAGGGAGAAAAATACAAGATCCTCCGTTCAGGACGTTGACGCTTATGTTTATGTACCACTGAGATATTTATTGATAAACTAAATAACGCTAATTTATCGAGGAACGACACAGTATTGGAGTTTAAACGAAAAAATAAATGTGAGACATAACGGTGAAATCAGACGCTCGTCAAAATTTGAAATCGAAGAAACCTTTATCTTCCCACTGGTTTGGTAATTTCTATTAATGTTTTTATTTTATTTTATTCTATTTTATTTTGGGATGGGGGTGGGGGGGGGGGGGGGGTCAACACATTTTATGTCCATTTAAAACCACATTTGTGTGTTGATTTTGCTTTAAAAAATGCTGATTAAAAGCATAGAAAATGCAAATTTTCAGTTTCCGAGCGCTCTCAAGCGAGGGAAGTCACCAAGTTTAGCGGCCATTTTCTTGCTAATTTTACCCCTGAAACCAGGCGACCCCCACCTCTTGTAATTGCAAACACCTCGACTTCTATTTAAGATATATGGCCATTTTTATCATCAAAAGCAAGATAAATAACAAGCTTTAAGATTATATCAATAATCTCGTATGACCAAAAATTGACAAGAGCCTGATTCCACCGCGTCGTGACACAAAGAGTCGTAATACGGGGCAATAGGGTGTTTAGAATATTGAATTGGTTGTTTCCCCTTACATTGAAAGCCAGCGCGTGCGGCAGACAAACAGACTGACTGACAGACAGACAGACAGACAGACAGACAGACAGACAGACAGACAGACAGACAGACAGACAGACAGATAGACAGACATTGGAGCGACCAGGGGTGAGGGTGGGAGGATTTAGATCTGTTGTGCTCTCACAGAGAACTCTTACACATCCTTAGCTTCATAAGATTATCGACATCGTGTGAAGGATATCTGTTGTGAGTTGTGGGGTAAAAAATTTCACGTGTTTTGCTGTTGTCACCAAGACGCGTCGAAACAAGAGTCTGTCAGGATAAAAAACAGCCTCCAAAAACAACAAACAAACAAACAAACAAAACCTTGTTTCCTGAACGAGGCTTCTCGACAGCAGTCGAAACCCTTAAAATAAACCGTAATAAAAATGAGCGACAACACACTGAGAGTGATTTTATATCACGGTGGGGGTTGTGTGTTAATGATTCGGTTTGTGCTTCATTCTGAGCGTCTTTGCTGTTAGCCTACTGTCAAGAGCCATTGAGGAGATTGTCACAAGGAAAAGAAAAGTTGGTGTCATGGCTGACTGCTGTCGATTCTGACAAGCCAACACTCTTATTAAACAACAGTTTGGAGATACTGCACAGTGGGATGTACAATGCCAGGGGCGAAGCGTCTATATAATCAAATAATCACTGCTTCCCTTCCTAATTTTGAAACATTGTCGCTGTCAAATTCATCCTTAAACGTAAAACTCTTAAATTAAATGTAAAAAGACGTTCGTAATCAACAATGAGTATGCCTAACATTCAAAACGGTTTCACTGCCACAGAAATAGCCT